AAAAAAAAAAAAAAAAAGGCAATGGGACTGATCTCATAGGTTGTGAGAATTAATGCCTGCCAAGTGCTTAGTACATGAAACATAAGACCTCAGTAAATGTTACTAGTCATTTTCTTATTCTGGAATCTGCAGGTAGACTATGGAAGCAGAGAAGATATAAACTGAAACTTGCACCTTGAAACTGGATACAAAACTTTTCATATCTCTATATGTAAGTACTTTTTCTTAGGAAATGGGAGGCATGTTTCTTATTATCTTTTCAAAGAGGTGGCAGTGTGGTAGAACAGAAGGGCAAAATTAAAGCAAAAGGAATACGATAGCCTCCTTGGGTCACATTTCCACTGTCTTCATCAAGAGCATTTGGTGCAAAAGCAGACCATACAGAAAATAAAGGTACCCACGGGTATAATTATAATTTCAAAGAAAGAAATTTCACACATCAGCATTAACTGTTCTTCCCAAGGGGAAAAAGAACAAAGATCCAAAGAACTAAGTAACACAAGGCAATTTGCCTAGCCCCAAAGTAATAAAAGAATGAGAAAATCAGAAGACAGGTGGCAAAGTCCTCCCTGCTCCACATGAGTAGGAAAGACTTAGGGATGTCTGAGCAAACTTGGGATGCCCAATATGAAGTGCTTCCAATCAAGGAATTAGTGCTTAGAAGAGGAAGCAAACCAGCCACTTTCCCATTTGTCTAGTATATGAAATAATTTTAGATTAAGGAGTTCAGGTACTACTTCCTATCAATAAAAAAGATCTCCTGTATAATTAACTGAAGGAGGGAATAGAACCAAATAGCAGATATTTTAATTTAATAATCTTTTTTTTCTTTCTTTCTCTTGGTACTGGGGATTGAACCCAAGGCCTTCACACTGAGCTACATCTCCAGACTTTTTTATTTTTTGACTCAAGGTCCTTGCTAAGTTTCCCAGGCTGTACTTGAATTTGCTATCCTCCTGCCTTAGCTTCCCAGGGTGCTAGGTTTACAGGTGTGTGCCATAATGTCTAGCTTTGTTTAATAATCTTACTTAATCCTTCACAATAATCTATTAGAGATTACCCTCCCCACTTTATAGACGGGGAACTGAGACTTAAACTTGATCAAGGTCACCCACCTCAGAAGTAGAAGAGCTGGGATACATGCTCAGGTTTTCCTAATGTATATTCTCAGTCATGTTCTCATTCTCTCTTGGGACCCTGCACTTGACAGGCAGGTGGTGCAACCACTGAGCTAAATCCCCGACATCTCATTCTCTCTTTCTCCCCTCTCCCCCAAAGGGTCTTTGTAGCCTAGGCTTGCCTTGAATTTTTGGCAATTCCTCATGTCTCAGCTTCCCAGGTGGTGGACTACAAGAACTCACTACCATGCACAGCTATATTTTCCTGCTTCTAGAGATCATATTCTTTCTTCTTTCAACCTTCCCAAATTAATGTGAACAATTGTGAAAATAACTGTAAAAACATTTATGTACCTGGTATTCATCTGGGGCCTTGTAAGAGGATATATAGTCTCCATGATATTTGGTGAGTGATTTATTCAATTTCAAACCCTCAGTATCCTAAAGAAATAAAGAGACATCATTAATGATAAAACAAAGAATAGGGAGAAAGATTATTTAACCACATACTAAAAGGCAAAATTAGGTTACTTATACGAAGTGTGACTAGATTAGTAAGATTAAATGCTTGCAGACTGCTGATCACTTTCAAACAGGCATTCTCCCTGTAAATTAATGCTAATATTCATTTTAGACAGCAGAATTTATCAGCAATTCTACTCATTAAGGAAAGCATAGATATCAAAATTTTGGTATCAACTTCAAATTAGTGAGCTCAGTAGAATAATTAGTAAGTAATACATGAGATTTTTACCAAAAACCTCACAATATTTAGAAACCACAAAGCATCAAATGGGAAAAATTTGGGCTATATATTTATTGGGTGTATAAGGAGGCCATCAAGAAATCCTCAATCCTATGAGAATGGAAGAGAAATACTGTATCCTCACAAACTGACTTCCATCCCTGAAAAAAATCAATATTCTTTTTTTTGGATCCACATACATGCCCCTCTATGGGTATGCTCATCCATTCCCATGGTGTGCACACCCATCTAAAGAAAACAAAATTTCAGCTTCCACCTCTCTTTAGCTTCTAAGTTTGATACCCATAATGCTAAGTGACTCTTGAATAGTTTTATCTAAATACTACTAAAGCAAAATACAGACCCCATAGTCTTTTCTTTACAGTTGTGTATTTCCTACTAAATCTTTGGGTTTTTAAAGTTCTGTGCATTGTTTCAACTCCAGAAAAAAATAATTGTCTAAAAATTAAAAAATGAAGGAATCACAGATATAGGTGCAAAGGTCAAAATCTTTCAAATAAGATTTTGCAAGAACAAAATCTTATTGAATGTGCTTTTCTAAGATTGACTAAAAAATCTTTCTTAGATACATCTGGGCCTCAAAGGTTTATTGCTGCTTCTATGGAATACAAATTTTAAAAGTCTACAGCTTCTTAGAGCATGTGATTGTCAAGAATAGCAAAATTCAGACTGGTAACTCCTCTACAAAATACACAAAGTACAATTTAAAATTCCACATGTGTCTCTTCCTTTATGCTTTAATGTGAAAACACGGATAATGTTGATCTTTTCTCACTTTAAAATACACATAAGGTAGTTTATTCCGACATATCACACATGCAAGTAAAACTAATGAAACTGAAACCATGCATAACACCAAACAAAACATATTCTCAGGTAGTGACATTATTGTGTAGCAAATGAAAACCATCAAGTCATCCTCACCTCTTCTTTCTGCATCTTCCCTCATGTAAATTCTCTTTCCATTCCACAACCTTATCTGACTTCACCAGCGCTGGCCAGATTTATTGAAAAGCTCCCAGTGGTAACAGAAGGCTATTTCCAAATAAATCTGGTCAAGTTATTCTACTTAAAAAGTCAAGGATTCTTCTTCATGTACAGAATAAAGGATCTTCCACAACTCGACCCTGCTCTAATAGTCCAACCATACCCCTGACCAGTCATTCTGCATCCCAGTCACTTGCAGTTGCCCCGTTTCCGGGTCTGCATAGATTGTCCCATTCTACTTGGACAATGTGACAAACCTTGCCATCTAGCAACATCCAAACTGAAAGTCACCTCCTCTGAGAAATCTCCTGAACACCATGGTAATGTTACTACTGCTCCTGTGCACACACAGCATGTCCAGACCTCACTGGAGACACAGTACTTCGAGAAGACCACGAACTTCAAGTATTAACTGGTTCCTCATTATACATTACAGCAGTCTGCTACTGTGAAAAATGCATGAATAGAGCATTCAAGATACCAGTCCTCGAAAATATGCCCCAGTAAAAACAAACTTAAATGGCACCTTTTCGACTACAAACCTCTATCACGAATCTTAGTACTGTTTATAGACAATCCCCAAGGAAGTCGCGGTTGGCTTTATTTCCCGCAATACCTCCCCTTCGCGTCCTCGGCCCAAGCTCCTGGAGTACCGAACGCACCACACGGCCCTGAATGCTGCCCACAGTCCTCCCCAGGCCCTGCTGCTGCCCTTCGGGCCCAGCAGCAGTATAGATCCCCGCTCACTGTACCTCCGCGGAGCTGGGGTCTACTTGTTGGTCCAGAATAGCAGCTGGCTCCTAGGAGCTCCTCCGCGGACTCCCGCCCCGCCTCTGGGACGTTGGGGTCGCGGGAACCCTGGCGGCAAACAGCAGCTCGAAAACCGAAAGTGCGCGCCTCTCCTGCTGACTGGCTAGAAGCCCGGCCAATCACGGAGCAGAGGCGGGCTGGTGGCGGCCAGCGAGGTTGCAGCGACGTGCGGGCGGGTCAGCCAGTCATAGCCCCGCATCCGGTCCGCTCTTGGCCAATCTTAACGCTCTTTGGAGAACTGAGGGAACTACCAGGCTCCAGGATCAGGAGTCCCAAGATTTAAAAACCTTCCTTTTCAACAGTTAAATTCCGGTGTGGGGCGGGTCTTGCGCATTACTCCAGCTCCCTGGCTGTGAGGGGAAAGCCGGAAGTGTTCTCCGCCCAGGCGGTCTCCAAGTGACCAATTTTGGTTCCCTTAAGAACAACTCCCAAAACTTTGTCTTGAATGGACAAAAAGGAAAGGAAGTTAGACCTTTTTACAGTTTCTTTCCTGGGGAGGATCCTGTCCTATCAATAAATTTTTTAAAACTCCTAAACCGGCTACCCGGGTGTGGTAGCGAGTATCTGTAATCCCAGCAAACCGGAGGCAAAGACAGGAGGAGCACAAGTTCAAGGCCAGTCTGGGCTATATAGTGAGTTCAAGACCAGCCTGAACTATATAGTGAGACCTTGCCTCAAAAAACGAAACAACAAAAATTCTAAACGTGAGGCTGAGGCAAGAGAATCGCGAGTTCAGGCCAATCTAGACTACGTAGCAATTTCAAGGCCTGCCTGGAGTATGCATGGAGAAAAAGAGTCTTCCATCCAACAGAAAAGAATGTGACAGGGCTGGGGATTTAGCTCAGTGGTGCTGAAGCCTGCCTCGAAAGTGCAAGGTCCTGATTTTGATCCCCATACAAAAAAAAAAAAAAAAAAAAAAAAAAAAAAAAAAA